TTGTATTTTGTTTCCCAGGGCCGTTGCCCAAATTTCAGCCACCTGGGTGGTTTGCAATGGCAAACTTAACTCATGGTTCCGGAGGCCAGAGTCTGAAATCAAAGTGTCCGCAGGGCTGTGTTCCCTCCAAGGTCCCTGAAGGAGAATACTTACATGCTTCCGGTTTCTGGTGACACTAGGAGTGCCTTAGCTTGTGGCTCACTCCTATCTCTGCCTCCAACTTCAATGTGGACTCTGCCTCTTTTCCCTGGGTCTCCCCTTGGCATGTCTCTTATAAAGACACTTGAATCAGATTTAGAGCTCTTCACAATCCAGGATGATCTCTTCTTGAGATTCTTAATGACAGCCGCAAAGACACTTCTTCCAAATAAAGTCACATTCACAGGTTCTGGGGGTTGGGGGGTAGATCTATCTTTTGAAGGGCTACCATTCCACCTTCGGCTTCGTTTGGCCTTGTTTGTACATCGCCCCTCCTAAGCAGGAATGTAAACTCCATGAGAATAACACTCTGATCTGTCTCCTTTACTGCTGTTTGACAGGGACCTAGAAGGGTAGAGTCTGGCATACAATAAATGCTCAGTATTCATTTGCTTAACAAATTAGAGGCTGGTAGTTTTAATCAAAAGGAATATTCACCAGCAAAAAAAAAAAAATTGCAAAAATATAAAAGTAGCTAATACTTAATGGATGATGAGTTGAGCAATTTGCCCAAGATTCTATATTCATTTAATAATGGCAGGGCCAGCACACAAATCCAGATGTTTCTAGCTCCACAAATCTCTGCAATTTAGCATTAAGTTGTACTGCTGCAAATCTCTGATTCTCATGTTTTCTCTTTATTTCTTTGCTTACCCACAGCGTATGGTTATGTGGTCAGGAAATGAAAATAACTCCGCTTAGCTAGAAACAAGCTGATTTTTTTTTCTAGCAATGAAAACCTGTTTTTAGGAAAAATGAGAAACTTGCTAACCTTATGTAACCTAAGCATAAGCATAACATTTTTATAAGGTGCTAATATTACTTTTCCTGAAAAAGGGAGTACTGGTTGATTTATTAAGTTGTACATAGTAGGATGCTAGATATATTTGGAACATTAGGTTTTTCTTTTCAAGTCAGTGCACATAAGAAGAGTAATCTTCAAAGAGACTTAAGCTTCTGGGGCTGAATTTAACACTATTTAAAGAAAGAAAACCTTAGCCAGGGGATATAGCTGTTAACATGGTGATTTGTAAAACCTTAGATTTCTAATAAGGTCTGACTGTTTCAAGGAAAACATATTTTGTTTCTAGGTAACATTTCAACTCTGATTATGAACAAATGCTACAAAATTGATCTGTAATGGGAAATACTGTAATGTCACAAGGCATTATTTAATGCTTAATGTGACTGAAAGCATTAATTGCTAGGAGCCATATTCTGTCTAAGCAAAACATGAACACACATTTTGTACCTCTCATCTCTTCCTATAGGTTTCTGAAGGAATTCGAGTGTAACAAAAATGTAGTTAGAAAATCTGCGGTACCTGAAGATTTTCTTCACCTGCTTGATTATTGCACTTGTCCCCTTGTTAGCAAACGCACGAGTCACGTCTGCTCAGAAATACCCAGCAAATGGCGGGAGCAACATGGCTGCTTATTAGCAGCTCAGCTAAAATAGCTTGTGAAGGGTGAAGTAGTAACGGCTGACAATTTTTCTTTTAAGTCTCTCTAGATTTATTTTTGCCACTTTATAATAAAATCTCGGCTTTCTCCAAGAACATGCATATGAGATCTGGCTGTCTCTTTCTGTAGTTTTAAAACAAATTTATAGTGCTAGAATTTCCCAGTAAAATCCAGGGAGTGCCATAATATTCACTGCTTTGACTCACGGTGAAGTATTAAAATTTAAGCACTAGAAAGATGATGTCATCAGTTCTTAAACTTATAAGATTTACCCAAACATAAGTCCTGGGGGGGACACACACCCCAGGTGTAAAGCATCCCTCCCCCATCCCAGGCTGTTTTCTTACCTCTGTCATTTTTCTCACATAAAATAGAAAACATTGTCTGATTTCCCATAGAATTGCATCAAAGAAAATGAATGTAACAAAAGATATTTTCCAACCTTGAAGATGTCTGTGTAAGCGGGTGCATAATGCATTTCTTCTAGGATAAATTCTAGTAGGTGTATACCAGGCACAATGCCAGTACTTACAGACATTTCTCATGCAACTCTTTCAACTACCCTATGAGGTTGGTATTTGAAAGAAAGAGAATGAATGGGTTATGCTAGGTAACCAACAGCCCTACCATCCCAAGGTTTTGAAGCAACAGAAGCTTAATTGTTTTTGCAAAGCTGGTTGGGGGCTGGGCCGTTGTTCATGGCAGCAGTAGTGCACATCTACCACAAACAGCAGATCACTCACCTAGCACGTGTGAGGCCCTGGGTTTGATTCAGCACCACATAAAAATAAATAAAATGAAGTTATTGTGTCCAACTACAATTAAAATAAATATTAGAGAAAAAAAAAAGAAAGCCAAACACAGGTAATTGAATACTACCTCCTGAAAGTGATCCATGTCATTCTTGCCCACTGACATTGTTCAAAGCAAGTCACATGGCCATATCTAATTTGAAGAGAGCAGGGAAGTGCAATCCTTCTGTTGAAAACATTGGGGGACAGTGCCTGTGGTCACTACAGCATTATTTTCCCTATGTCACAAATCGGGGAATGTAGAGGAAAGTAATATTCAAAGTCACACAACTCATAAACAAGGTGACTATGTCATTGATTGTTCAGACCAAGACACCATTGACAATGAAAGGGGCCAGTTTTAATTGATATCTCTCCAAATCCTGGCCCACCTTCCCTGCCCATTTTGGAATTTTAGAAAGACCCACTCCATTCTTCTGGCTGTGCCTCTCCCCGTGGTTGAGAACGTCCCGGGCCAAAGGGTTTTGCTGACTCAGAGCCAGGGCCACCTTTTCTAGATATGCCTCCAAGTCCTCATAAGACCCCAGAAGTGCATGCCCCAAAGACACCAAACATCTTCAAGCCCTGGTTGGCCTCTTCCCCAGGTGTTCTTCCAAAAGGCAGGCAAAGTAGTAGGCACATGCCTAGCTAGTTAGACTAGCCAAATGTCAGCTGTTGGAGAGTGGACTCAATTTGATCATATACACTGCAATCGTTTGAATATGTTCCCCCCAAATGCATATGCTAAAATCAAAGTCCCAGTGTAATGGTATTAAAAGGTGGGACCCTGGAGAGGGGATTAAGTCATGAGGATTAGTGCCCTTATAAAGGGCTAGAAAGAGCTAGTGAGGTCCTTCTTTTGCCTCTCTACTCTTCCATCATGTGAGGACACAGCCACAAGACAACATCTTGGAAGCAGAGAGGAATACTTGCCAGACACCAAAGCTGCTGATGCCTTGATCTTGGAAGTTCCAGCCTCCCAAACGGCAAGAACTTCCTTCTTATAAATTACCCAGGTTAAGGCATTTTGTTACAGCAGCAGGAATGGACTAAAGTATACACCTACAGGAAGCCCATTGAGAGAGAGAAAAAGGGTGGAGTGACCCATGGACTATTTGGCAGTTTTACCCCTCTCTGGAACCCACAAGTATGAGCCCATGATGCTGGGATAATCAGAACTATTCCGGGAGAACTTAGACCTGTGGTTTCCCTGCAGAGAAGGCAGATCCAGATACAAATCCAGGTCTCACTCATGGTGGACCTGTTGTCTTCATCATTCCACTGAATTGCCTCTGATTAAGAATTTTTTGGTCAAACTACCACTACTATCCCCATAATTCAAAGACTGGTGGTATAGAATAGTGTAACATAAAAATTCAGGTTTACTGTGATGAGTTGCACAGCTGGCCATACAGAAAGATGGATTCAAAGACCCAGGTGGATTAGAGTTCTAGCTCTGCCGGGCAGAAGTTTCACAGTCTGGGTGGACAGATCACTTCCTCCTGAGGAGCCTGTCCTAATTCCACAGTGGGCATAATAATAATGATGATTACAAAACTCAACACTCAGAGTAGTTATGTAACTAAGGTGAGATAATGCATGTGGCCTTGAAGTTGGAGGTGATGCATGAGTACTAGAATTTCTCCTCACTGACCTGCTTGAGAAGGTCATGTGTCAGAGGTCATGTAGATAATGCCTGCAAACATCAGGCTGCTGGTTAATAGTCTTCCAAGCTTTAGAATCACTGTGTGAAGTGTTTCTAAAATCTAAAAATTGATCTAGTTGAAATTTGATTGGTCTTAATGGCAAAGGGATAGCTCTTGGATTTGTTTATATCACAGTGAGGATATTCCAAAGCTATTTATATATGGTAGGGATTTGGAACTCAGTTCCATAGCAGACCAAGAGTCTCCATTTATTTAAAAGCATTCAGGAGTCCAACTGGAAAAAGGTCTTTAGGGATCATGTTTTCCAGATGAGGCAACTGAGGTCCAGAGAGATAAAGCCCACAGTTTTCTGGGGGTCAGGTTGAGGCCGAGACCAATTTTGAACTCAAGCCCCTTTTCTGCCTCTAAGGATCTTCTTCGAAGCTTTAACATTCTCATCTGAAAGGTGTTAATGATAACACTGGCCATACAGAACAAGGATAAGGATCAAGTAAGGTCATGACCACAAAGCATTTTGTGTAGGTGGCACTCAGTAAGTGGCAACCATTTTTGTTTTTATCCCAAAGGATGGTCTTCACATATTTCAGCATCAAAGATTCATTTTATTCATAGCTACTCTTGGCTTCAAGTATGGATCTAACAGATAAGCATCAAAGGATTGTTTTTTGGTTGTTTTTAAACATGTGAAATGAAGGTGATTTTTCCAGCACCAGAGTTCACATCCCTACTCCCCACCCCATCCCCCATAGGCCACATGATTATGAGCAGAAAGAAGCTGAAGACATTTAATGAGTCACTTCAGATCAATGATCTTCAACCAGGCCCAGCTGGTGAGATATTGATAAGGAAATGTGCGATGCAGAGAAGAGCAGTTGACTTACAGGAAGTGAATGGGGCTCCTTTGCAGAAATGGATCCTCCAGGGCCTGGGCTGGCCTGGGCCTCAGGGTTGGTGCAGGCTGGAGAGGCAACATTATGTGGTGGCTAAGAGCATGGGCTTCCGAGTCCAGTTGGCCTTTCTTTGGCTGCTGCTTCCACTCTGCAAACTTTACTTTCCTCTTTTGTAAAAGGGCAGCGAGAACAATACCTGTCTCGCGAGGTTGGCTGTCATGGTCCAAGGGATACACTGTGCAAAAATACTTGGCCCAGGATCTTATGCAAGGAGGTGATTCATTGACAGAGCTAGATGACTCTTAAAAAACTTTGAAGACGTTAACAGCCATTTAAAAGGCAAAATGTCTAATAAATCAGAAGAAATTTCAGAGAGAATAATCTAAACTTTATTTTACGAGCAATTCCATAGAGAGTGTTCGCAATTCACACAGAAGCTGGGATCATCAGCTTCACCAGGCCCTTCCTGAAGTCTTCGGGGAGCCCTGCTGGCTTGCTGGTGGCTGGATTCACAAAGACGTGGACTGAAGACCCCGTGGTACAGGCCAAAGCATCAAAGTGAGCCAATTTAGGATGGCCAAAGAAAAAGCCATCAGAGAGGTCACAGTGATCTACTGAAGGTGGCTCCTCGGTGTGCTTAGGTGGAAACAGGGCCAGTCGGTAATGCACGCTGGAGTGACCCACTTTCTCCACCGCCAAGGCAGCCACAGGGATCTGAGGGAAGCCGATGGGTGAGTAGTAGGTGCACTGATTGGTCACCATGAACCCCACCATCGGGGACGACAGTAGGCTGGTTTTCAGGCCACAGTACCTAGAAGGGAAAATCACAATGCATGCTCCAGGTTGCCAAGGCACTGTCCCCCAGCCCAAAGGCAGTGTGCTTCAATGATCAAGGGCCCTAGCCCCAAAGGGCCTTATTTAAATCCCAGTTCTGAGCCAGACCTGGTGGCACACAGCTCTAATCCCAGTGACTCCAGAGGCAGGAGGATTGCAAAAAGATTGCCAGCCTCAACAACTTAGTGAGGCCCTAAGCAACTTAGCAAGACCCTTCTTAGAATAAAAAAAATAAATAAATAAAAAGGGCTGGGAATGCGACTCATTGGTAGAGCACCCCTGGATTCAATCCCCAGTATCTAAATCAATCAATCAATCAATCAAAATAAATCTCAGTTCTGCCACTTACTAGCTGAATTACCTTGGGCAAGATACTAACTTCTCTGGGCTTCGGTTCCTACAATATATATACATATACCTCATAAATGTGAGAATTAAGAGGTGAATGTACACCATTTACTATAGCAAAACATTGACTTTTCTAATATAATTATGTCCATCTTGTCCTTGCTTCATGATGAAAGAGGCAGGAACTTTGGTGCTAAATAAGAGAGAAAACTCATTTATCAGGTTCAGTGAGTTATTGTGTCTCACGTCTGCTACTAGATTCCCATCTCTTTAAGGATAGGAGCTGTGTCTCATTCATTTTTAAAGTCTGTCGAATAGAAATGAATTGGCACTTGCGACAAGATCTGGCGGGCAGCGAGAATGGGAAATGGAAAGCGTCGTGCTGCTTTCCAGCCCCTCTCCACCTTCCCACCCATTTGTGATTTAAACATTTTCGTCACCTCATCTTATTGTCTCCTTTTCCTGAAAATATATTAAGATTGAATGTGAGGATTAACTGTGAGGGAACAGCTATGTGCTGTGTGTAGGTCTGACTACCAAGTTTTTCATGGAGGAGAAACAGACACAGACCCCAGGCTCCACTCCGAGAGGGCACTGAGTGGCTGTGGGCAGCCACCCTGGGAGCCCATCGCTGTCACCCATGGTGACATTAGATATGTTCCCTTCCTCCCTTGGAACAAGCTGTAGAATGAAAAAGATCCCATTACAGAACAGTAGGTCCTGTCCCACGCGATCTCATTTGCTGTACTTGAACATATTAGCTTATGGCCATATTGACTTAAACAAAACCTTAGACGGATAAACTGCAAAATGTTCTCCGTACTTATCTCATAGGAGAATTTGGGGGAAATGTGGGGTTTTGGTGGGGGGTTGTTTTTTGCTTTTTTTAAAACTTGTATGAATGTTCTGAACATGATTTGCCTTCAAATGAAGAAAAACGTTTTTAAATGACAGTGAAGTTCATTTTTTTTTATAAAATAAAATAAGAGATGAGCCATTTGGATTAACAAGACTCCTTTTGTCCCTGACACCTCCTGCCACCCACCTGAAGGCTTCCTCATAAGTACTAAAAGGCTGCCTTAGTGCTTTTGGAATGTTGTAACAAAAATATCATAGACTGGGTGGCTTATCAACAATAGAAACTCATTTCTCACAGTTCTAGAAGCGAGGATGTCCAAGATCAAGGTGCCAGCAGAGTGGTGTCTGTTGAGGTTCACTTCCTGGTTCACAGACAGCATGACTGTGTCGTCACATGACAGAAGGGGATGAGGGAGCTCTCTGGGGTCTCTTTTATATGGGCACTGATCCCATTCATGAGGGTCCTGCCCTTGAAACTAATCAATTCCCGAATGCCCCATCCAAATACCCTCGCATTAAAGATTAGCTTTCAACACATGAATAGTGGGACGTGTGCA